AAAAACATTGGTTAAAAAAGAATAAAGTAATTTAGGTATCTGTATGTAGAGAGGTAGCAGCATTAATAGAAAATAGAGCGGTAGAAGAAAACTTGAAGAGAGTGCCTTACCTATTGTATGAATGAGCTTTAGTTAAGAAAAAAAAATGCTCTAGATTGTTTATATTAGAGAAACAGCATAAAAGAGGAAGGCTAAAGCCTGATGATGATTATTAATAATAATGATGATATTGATGATGATGATCATCATGATCATAATGATCATCATTATTTTAGGAGTTTTATTACACCATTGTGTTGACTTTCCCCAGATGAAAAAGTTAATGGCATAACTCCAAGAAGATGGGACTCACTATCGATAGTTGCCAGAACAGCAAGTCTATCATGATTTAATTTTTTTCCATTATTAATTTCATAAAGTGTCTTTCCATAAAAATGTATAATATATGGAAGAAACTTGGATGCTAAGTTCAACATCTTCTTTAGCAATAATTGCCATTTCATGAGATGTTTGTTGCATCTTTTTAAAAGCTGTTGACCTTCTGCAATTTACATTTGTAAGATCAACCCCAAAACAATCAAAGATTGCAGTAGTAATTTTTGTCAAAACGTTAGGAGATATATCAGTAATTGTTTATTCTTTTATTCGACTACTTGACTCTATAGAACTCTAATATCCTGGGTCAAAATCCAAATCAAAAGATGAATCATTGCTGGTGTCCATACTAAATTCCAAATCTGAACTTACTTCTACTGATTTAGCAGCATTTTTTATAGATGGATTTCTCTTTCTTGTATCCTCCAAAATCTAAACAAAATGCATTACAAAATAAAAATTAATGAACCCAAAATAAAAACCAATAAAAAATTGGCAAGGAGTGAGCAATGAGATAAGAGTTTTTAAATTCAGAAAGAAACGGTCACAATATGGATTACTTTCTTGCTATATTGCTTATCTTTAGGCCCTAGAAGTAACTTTCTGCTGTGTTCTTGATCGTATAAAAAATCTAGGTCTATTTTTGTCCTTCTTTATCCAGTTTTGTATGTTAGCTTTTCCTGTCCAAAAGGTTTCCCCTATTTTCCCCTTTCTAAAGTCTTGTTGCTTTTTAACTCTAAAGGCGACCTCCTGTGCATGTTTTTTTTTAATTTCAAATATTTTTTGTTCAACTTATTTTGCTTTTGCATCAAGTTTTTATCTGATCTAAAGAGGGAATCCAGCTTTTAGCCAGGGACCCTTTATTTTGCTTAGAATATACTTACAATGCAGTTCAACACACCTCTCATAATTTCTGTTTTACAGAGCATGCAAGTATAATTGACTTTTTTGATGTTTTAGAAAGCATTTACTGATTTAAAGTGTTGTGTTGTAAAATATCTATTCCAGCCGGCACATTATGTGTTGCTCAAATAGTAAATGAGGAAATAGGCTTATAAATAAAGAGGAATTCGACATATTGAACTGATTTTTTTACAAGACATCAGGTTTTTGTTTCTGTTCATCTGGACTTTAGACTAATCTGGAAAATTACATTCGTCCAGATAATTTTTTTAAAAACCGAAAGCGTGGATATTTAGAATTTTGCAAACTATATTAGAAATACGATTAATAATAAACAATGTCGTGGAATATAATAAACAAATTGGCTATGATCTGATTCTTTGCTCTTTGGTTATTTAAAAGTTACTCAACAATCTATTCTAATAGATGTTATTAATTACTTGTGACTATGAAAATAGCCATTTTTTTTAACTCAATACAGAACAGCACATCAGTATGGTTCTTCGTTTAGTTCATGGTCCTTCTTTTTTACTTCCTAGAATAGTTAATCACTTTTTAAAATTTCTTAAACTTGTTTTTAAAAACTAAACAAAAAAATTTAACTTTGGATTGTTATTATAAAAAAAAATTAAAAGATTGCCTAACTAACCAGAAAATAAATAAATAAATAAAAATTAATAAAAACTGTTACCAATATTACTAATAAAGTTATTTATTTTAAACAATTATCAGAACAACTGCCACTTTGCTTTCTTAAACAATTTTGCTGTTACTCATTTTTTATTCATTTTGTTTTTGTTTTTTTGCAATAGCGGTATATATTAGATGTCATAAACAAATAATTAGCTGTATCTCTAGTGTTTTCTGCAAAAGAGGTTAGACAAACATGACCAATTTGTGCAGTTTTGTTTTCCTTATTTCTGGCTTTAATAGCACTCTCAGACAAAGAACCTATTGGATACTTAAAATACATTATAAAAGAAGTACCATGAAGTATCATTCTATGCACAGATTGTGACAAAAGTATAGTTTTTAACATTGTATCATTAGTTATGAGCGCAAATAGATGCTCAGATTTCTGTTTAAAAGTCTTTATATCTGGTATTCTCGTTGGGCTATTCATATCAATGAGCAAATCTCGAAACAACTTAATCAATCTGATATCTAAGTTTAAAATTCTCCCAGACACTATCGGATTATTAAAAAATTTGCAAGCAACATTTCCAGTATTGGTTGTGCCATTTCCTTTTCTGACAAAAGAAACCCTTATTTTCAATTGTATCTTGAATAAATGTTGGAATTTGTTTTTATTTTCAATAAATTCTATACTCTTTTGTGATGGAATATTTCTTCCTTGTTTTACTGCTGGGAGTTTACAAGCAGTATTAAAAACCCACTCCATGCAGCGTATTTATAAATGAAGACTGCAAATTCCAAGTTTCAAACCTTGCTTGCCTAAATTTTTATTTTATTTTTTTAAATAATTTTTAAATTAAACTCCTTAGAATTTGTAAGACAAACATAGCAGGACTGAGATGAAATTTTTTTCTTAAGCATATTGAATACATATTTAATAAGCATATTTTCTTAAGCATTGTTTTGCCATCATTCATTGTGGTGTAAATAGTTGACAAACTAGACTTTACTACCAAAGTATTTTCACCTAGTTTAAATTCAATATTGTTTAATAAAAAAATTTCATTTTTTTATTAAACAATTAAAAATCCATCACTCTGGACTATTTGGAATAAAATTTTTCTAAATTATCATTTCTCCACTTGAATCTCTAACAATTCAAACACTATACTATACACAGAGCGATCATTCACACCTCTTTTCATAGTTGCTGAATTTTGAAACTCAGGTTGATTGCCTTAACCATCACCTCCTACTTTGCAAATAATATGTACATTATCACGCTCTTCTTGTGATAAACTCATTATGCAGTTACTTTCATAGTCCAAAAGATATTCAAATGCTCCAGAAACACTACTCTACAAATACTCTAGAGTGCTTTATCATATGAAAAAGACTACATTTTACTGCAGTTTCAGAATATTCAATCTGTTCTAGATATGTCAATTTTTTGTATTGTTTCAATTTAGTTTAACCTGGAGGTTTAACTAAGTTGAACAATATAATTGAAACATGACAATTATGAGTCACTATACTTTTAAATTTAGTTTTTTATTTTCTATCTGTAAGTTTTTTTTTTTATTTTCTATCTGTAAGTTTTAAATTACAAAGAGCTTGCAATGATAAATTTTAACCATCTAAATTAGTCCAATCATCAGTATAAAAATTAGATTTAAATCTTTTGGCATGTTGCAGTTCTTCTACCTCTCGCTCTCTAACACTATCTGTTCTTTTAGGCTTCATCCATCACTGCATTCAATCATCATCATTTTTAAGCTTTATGAAAAACTGTCAAGTTTTTAATGTACAAGATATATTTATTGCAGGTGATCTAGATGCTCTTCAGGGTACACTATAAACAAAAATGTACATTGAAACATAAATACAACACTTACTAAACTGTCAAAAAGAAGGTTTTGTAAAATAACGTATAAAAATTATGTATATATATATATATATATATATATATATATATATATATATATATATATATATATATATATATATATATATATATGTAATATCCATAACTTATTTAATAATAACAAATTAATATAGAACATATTATACTCACAAGAGATATTTGCATTGTTAATTTTGAACTAAAAAATTTTTGTATTTAATTAAATGCTAGACTTTTAAAAACTTTGAAATTCACTGTGCAACCAGCGTAAAGAGATAAAAACTTGGATTGCAAAAAAATATCACATGCAGAAATATTTTTACTTGTAAAAATATGCCTAGGAGAAAAATCATCAGCCAAAAGTTTGCTAAGATTGAAAGTAACCATATTAAAACAATTTTCAAACCACGCTTAAAAATCTTCAAACTTAGTAGTTTTAACTCTGAAGTTAAGACTAAGAACCGATGTACCATCCGCAATCCAGTATTGTTTTTCATACTTGGCAAAAACTGTAATTTAACCGCTTTTTAATAAAATTCACATTTAAATTGATTTTATAACATGTTACTACAGAGGTAGCCAGTAAATTCTTTCCATTGTTTCAGAAAATTTATATAAAATAAAAAACTGGCTACCTCTGTAGTTACATGGTCAAATCAATCAGATTTTAAGGACACACAAAAGCAATGAACCACACATTTTTTTTCTTTTCTTTGTTTTTAATTTACTAAATGTATTATTTATTAAATAATATGCAAAAATAGTTAAGAAAGTTAAAAATTATCATATGTAATAAAATGATTTAGTGAAACCTTTTTTTTTTTTTTACCCATAAAAATCCCCCACTTAAAAAAACAAATTTTTCTAAACTTTTTTTTTTTAAACTTTTATTTGTTTAAATTTTTGTATTTTTATATTCAATTTTGAGACAAATAAAACTTTTTTTTTCATTTAGACTTGACTGTCTAGATTAATCTGGTGCATATATTTTCAATTAAAAAATATTTACAAAATCTTTCAAAACTTTTTCTTTTACTTGTTATTTAAAATATTGAAAGGTCTTTATATTTAACCATGATAATGACCTGTAATCTTTTACAATTGATTATAATGATGATGATGACGATGATGATGATGATGATGATGATGATGAAGATGATGATAATGAATTATTTATATTTAGATACATCAGAGGTGTGCACAGCACTGAAAAAATATTATCGTGAAAATTATAGAAAAATAAATGAAATTCAACCACCATTAAAAGTACCTGCAAGTGTTGATCTAATGAATAACTTTGTTGATCTATGTATCGTTGATGCAGTTAATACTCAAATGGATGCTGTTTTTAATTTTGAGCGAAAAAAATTTCTTGAAAAGCAAATGAACTATACACTTATTTCATATAGTGAAATTTTTATGAAAGAAAAATCTGTAATATTAATATCTGGAATAGCTGGTATAGGAAAAACATGGTTGCTTCGAAAATGTTTGCTTGATTGGTCAAACAATTTAATTTGGAAAAATGTTGAACTTGTGTTTTATTTGGAATGCAGAAGGCTTAATCAATATCAAAATATTTCTAATATTAATGAATTACTAAATGTTTTCTACAAAGGTATTATAAATGATTATGATATTAGTACTCATTCTACGCTGTTTATAATTGATGGATTAGATGAGTTTAAATATTTACATGAACTAATAAATTGCAGTGCGAGTAGTAACTATCCAATTGTTAATGTTTTAACAGAAATTCAAAAATATAAATATGTAGTTGCTGGTAGAGTTCATGCAATTGATCAGTATCAAAGTATATCTACAGAGGGTTGTGATAAGATAAACATTCAAATTATGGGATTTAATGAAGATGGAATAAATAATTATATAGAAAATAATGTTTTAGAGGAAAAAAAAGATGTTGTGAAAGCAAATTTGAAGGAATCTGCAATTGCAAAATCAATGTCATCTGTTCCATTTTATTTATCTTTCATGTGTAAGATTATGAGTATTTCAAAAAATTTATACAAAAATTCTTTTTTAACAATGACAGACTTGTATGCAAATATTTTTTTACACTTTTTGCAAAAACACATTATCAAAAACAATGAATCGTTTTCTCACTTTATGGAAAACAATTTCAATAAAAAATATGTTTTAAACATTTGTAAAATTGCGTATCAATTATTTGTTGAAAATAAAGTAATTTTTTCCAAAGAAGACATTCAAACTTTCATCATTGACTTTGATAAAAATGAAAAAACTTTTTTTGGATTTATTGAAAGGATTGAAACAAGTCTAGGTGAATATATTTATCAATTTGCACATTTGACAATAATGGAGTTTTGTGCATCTATATATGCATATAATTGTTTAAGTAGTGAAGAGATTATGACTAATGAAAAGCTGAAGAGTTGTTTATCAATGATTTGTGGTTTAACCAATAAAAATCAAAATAGTTCCTTAAAGTTTCTTGTTAACCTGAATCCTTTAAAACAAACTTGTGAAGATTCTTTATTTTTGTTTTCTATTTTTGGTAAGTCTATAATACTTTATTACATTATTGTTAATCATTTTAGATAAAATCTATTTATCAAAAGTGCAAGTTTATTAAAATCAAAAGTTTATAAACATTAAATTTTTTTAAAGCTGTTTTTATCATTCCTTCTTTAAAGGATAGTCTCTATTCTTTTGTATTTAGTATGTTTGACAATATTATCTAAGATAATTATCTGAACAAAATTAAAAAAAAAACAAGTAAACTTTGACAAGTAATTTCAGAAGAAAAATGAGTTAAAATGAATAAAAGATTAATGGTTGTGATAAATTAATCATGTTTTTTTTTTTTTAATAAATGCAAATTTAATTAAGAATTCATATCTTAAAAATTAAAATATTTCACAACTTAAAAATTAAAATAGTTACATTTATGTGCTGAAAACTTAATGATGCATTCAAATTATGCATTTTTTTAACTTTAAATAAGTGTCCAAACCAAATTTTATTTATTAAACATTTCTTAAGTAATTAATTTTTTTGATTTTTTAATATCGAGTCAGACCATTTTTAGCGTTTAAGACTTCTGCTAGTCGGTTTTGCATTGGTTCAACTAATTTCTTTGTTGTCTCTGGATTGATTCAAGTCGAAGCTATTAGGAACACGATTATTTTCTCTTTGTTTTGTTTTGAAGTTGCTACTTTTTTGATCCTGAATCGTCCATTGGTGTTCAATCAAGTATAAAAAACACTAATTAAGTCGGCTAATCAAGTATAAAAAACACTTTTACTTTCTTTAACGTATGCTTAGTGTTGTTGTCTTGTCTATGCAAATTCAAACATTTTTTTACTTTTTTATCAGATTACTGATGGTTCCTTATGCTGTTTCAGTTGCTTTTTTTCATCAACCTAAATGTTTTACCTTGTCATTTAAAACAGTGATTAAATTTGCTTTCAGAACATAACATTTATCAAAATTATTTTTTTATCTTCTGAGAAATTAAAGTTTATCTTCATAATAAAATTTTCTGTTAGGATATTTGTTTCTTTTAAATATTGGGTCAAGTAAAATGGACACTTTTTATGTCTTAAATTAAAAAATATTGGAACAAGCTACAAAGTTGATTTTTTTTTTAATTGAATGCTTATTAAGTCTAGAACAAAAATACATAAACAGAAAAAAATATTTCAGTACAATAATTTTTTAACTTTTTATAATCGATTTGAGAGGCTAATTAGGAAATTTTAATTAAGCATGCAAAATTGTATCACGCACTTGTTGCTGTTTTGTTGCCATTTTAAATAGTAATATAAAAAAATATAAAAAATATTTTCTTAGTATGGAGTATAAAGGAAAGCATGAATGATGCGTTTTCATATTTCATGAATAAAACATTGCTTTTCATCATAACATGGAACAGTTTCAAGTTAATTATTTTATTATTTCTAATGATTGTTTAATTAAACTCATTTAAATTATAAAAGTGCATTATACATATTATTTTTATTTATATTATCAAATATAAATCATTGATTTGAAATATTTAGAGTTGTGTAGTAGAGTGCCAAGCCTTGTGGTACTCCAAATAACTTGCTAGTCAGATTAAAAAAGTGACATGATTTGACTTGCTTCTAAGCCTAATGGCTACGATCAAGTGAAGTATCTGCTTTTATTTGAGTTCTTACATCATTTTGATTGGTTATGATCTGCTGTAACATGGTATTTAGACTTCATTTCAATTAGTCACATCTAAAGACTGTGAAAAAATGACTTCATTGAGCCTAAACTTTGATTTTATGACATGATTTAACAAAAGAAAATTTGTATTTAGTGAGAAAATACAAAAAAAGTTTAATTTTTTCATTTATATTGTCTGATAATAAACAACAATTACATATTAAGTAGATAAATACAGTAAAAAATCATTTGAAATAAGCTTCAGAAATAAATAGTTTACTAGATTTGGAAGTTTATTTTTTGATTTGTTGTCTATGAATTATCAACACTGTTTTTATAAAATTTAATAATAAACCACTAAAGTAATAGTGACTAGCATTGTTATTTATAATTTTTTAAAGTAAACAAGAATAATGTAACAACATGCATATGATTGTATATAAATGCGTTAAATGTGGTAATAAGATACATAAAAAAAAACAGGATAAAGAAAATTATTTATAAAGGATTTTATTTTTTGTTCATAAATACTAAAAATGGCAATCCTTTATATAGAGTGCTGTATATAGAATCTGTTTATAGAATTTGTATAATCTCTTTTTTTATTTATTTTAATTTTTTCATTTCTTTTATTATTCTATTTAATTATTATTATTATTATTTTTTTTTGATAATATTAGTGGCCAAGCACAGAATTAAATGGTATATAGCCTTGTGTTGAAATCCTGCCAAAATTAGATTATAGGCCCTTATCAAACTCTTTTTATTATATAAATTGCGTTTTTGAAACCCTTTTAGACAAAGTTATGAAGTAGTCTATCCCATAATTTTTTTTCATTTGCAATTGGTCGCATCACAGAGCACCACAGAAGAGCATTTAACTTAAAAGTTTGCAAACCACAGATCAGTGAAGGATCTAGCATTTTTTGGTGTTTGAGATAATGCTGAGAGATCTCTCAGATTCATAAAAGTTTAAAATTTAAATTAACATATAAAGTTTAAAAAAAATATTTAAAGCAGCCGTGGCGCAGTGGTAGTGCACTTGCCTCAGAAACATAAGATCCGTGGTTCAAACCCCACCTCTGGGCAAGTTTTGCGACATCGGTAGGGAAGGAGGCGTGAACTTCCCATTAAATGCTTTTCCGCCGTGCTCTGTGATAAGACCGTAAGGACTTCTTGGAGCACCTTAATCAAATAAAAAAATAATAATTTCCTCCAATTTGAGGGGGTTACAAATTTTATATGGTTATAATTTTTGAACGCTTCAAAATTGTAAAACAATACTTAAAATTTTTTGATGAATATAAATTTAGTTATGAATAGCAAAAAAATTATTTCATCACGTTGTTGCTCTCACATTTGAGGCAGGGGGGATAAAATTTTAGAGCTTATTTGCTCCCGGCCTCCAATCATTGCCACTTTTTAAAAAGCATCATGATTTGACATGAGTATAAACATACGAATGCTTGGATTTTGTTTTATGTTGATGTTCAATCTGGAACACCAAATTCATATTAATGAAATATGTAAAATATAGTTTTTAAATGTACTTTTAAGGTTCAGAGTCTGCAGTTAGGAATCAAATCAAAATTCAAATTATTAAAATATCCTACCCTGTAACTATTATGATGGCAAGGCAAAATCTGCTACTCAGAGGCTCTTGTAAAAAAGTCTATCAAGATAATAAAGGGAAGTTTCTAAAAAATTTTAAACTTTTGGCTGAATTTGATCTAGTTATGGAAAAACATCTGTTGAGAAAAAAAAACAAATTCTGTGCACCATCTAACAAAAGATATTCAAAATGAAATCATTGACTTGATTAGCAAATCCATTAAATTTTAAACTAGCTCAAATCTTTGTGTATTTTTCAATTATTGTTAATTGTACGCCAGACATTAGTCACCAGGCGCAAATGTCAATGCTGGTTCGATATGTTGATGCAGAGGGTAAGAACAAAATTCATATTAATGAAAGTTTTCTTGGATATTACTTAATTGAAGGTTCGACAGGACTTGAAAAATCAAATGAGATATTTGACTCTTGCAAAAAATAATTTGTCAGTGGAAAACATAAGAGGTCAGAGCAGACACTCATGCAAATATGAAAGGCATAAAAAATGGTGTTTTATTCAACAGGCTTTTATTCTTCAAAAAAACAGCCAAACAGTTTATATTCACACATTAAATCTGGTAGTTATTGATTCTGTGAGATGTTCACCTTAAGTTGTTATGTTTTTTTTATATAATTGATCAAGTTTACAATTTTTATTTCTGCTTCAACAAAAAGATTTTGCAATCAAAGTTTCCATCTTTAACAGTTAAATAGTTAAGTGATACAAAATGGGAAAGAAAAACCTCTTCGATTTGAAATGCCAAAAATTTTGAAATTTGCAAAATTGCAAAAATTACAGCCGAGTCTATTGCTTTAAAATTAACATGCTCCGATTTTTTGTGTTCGATCATAATTTGGCATTAAGTTTTATTCAAAATTAATTTAAATAGCAATTAACTTCAATCAGCTTCAATTAATATTTTAAAGGCTTTAAAAGCAATGGAAAGAATGATTAATTTTTTTTTTATAGAAATATACAAACAGGAAAAATTTGATTCTGTTGTGTGTATTGCTCAAGAACTTGCTTCTTTTTTAAAGGTAGAAGAAAGTTTTGCAGCAGAATCTGAGTCTATAGTAAGAAAAAAAAAGAAGTTCTTTGATGACCCGAACAAAACTTTGAAAAACAGTCCAAAAGGAAAGTATAAAAAAGATATTTTTAATAAAATATTAAATTTTTTTTTTTTTTTTAATTATTTACCTCTACAAGGCCCGAGGGGGCCACTAAGTCGAGGAGGCTAATTATTATTATTATTATTTTTTTTTTGTAAATCCTGTTACAACCCTCTCTCAACTCTTTAACTCCGAAACACGAACCTTGACAAGCAAGGCTGCTGCGCAGAAAAATTAAATTAAGAGCGGTACTTTCAGGGACGTCGTGGTAGTCAAACTCCGAACCTCTCGCTTACAAAGCGAGCACTCTTACCACTACACCACTACTGCATGTGCTATACCAAATGTGCTACTATTGCAATAGAAGATAGGTTTAATGGTTTTAATGCTAGAATTGCACCTTTTAGCTTTTTAGTTGATGTTAAAAAGCTCATAACAGTTAAGGAAGATGATCTGAAAATTAAAAAAAAATGATATTTTTGGCAAAGAAATAACCTTTGAATTAATGCTCTTAAAGTTTGGGTTCTGAAAAGGCAATAAAATATTTGCACACAAATGATTTGAATGAAATCTACGCAAATGTATCTATTTCATTGAAAATTCTTCTCACATTACCACTAACAGTAACTATAAAGGTGGTTG